AGCACATGTATCTTCAAATTACACGGCGAGATGCCGGCGTTTGTATGCTGAACGAAAGGAACCAAAGCCTCAGCTTCACCAGCTCCCATGCACGGCACTGAAGTACCGAGGCACTAGCGAGGCAAAGCCTTCAGGAGGGCAGTGAGCCCCCCATCAGGCGCTTGTGGTGCTTGAGGAAGATGTTCCTTGCACCATTGATGTCTCGATCCGTCTCCAACCCACACCCCTGGCAAAGGAAGACCTTTGAGCCGCCAATCGTGTCATGGACCCATCCACAGCCCGTACACGTCTTGGTTGTGTACACCTCATCGAGAACCTTCAGATCGCATCCACGCTCCTTGCACTTCATTGCCAACCTTGTGCGGAACGTGTAGTGGCCCCAAAGGTGCATCTTGCGGCTCGTGCTCTTGCCGATCCTCCTTTGTCTGTCCCCGGTCCTTGAGCACATCTCTTGAGTTGCAAAAGGGGGCAGAACAATTGTCTGGAACCGATCGGTCAAGAACTGTGCCACCTTCCAATGCACCTCAGATGTGAGGTTCGAGACTCGTTTATGCAGCCTTAAGGCTGCCTTGCGCATCCTACGAGCTCGTCCTTTGCATTGAGGAGGAAGCAGAGAGATCTCTGAGCGCAGTCGGTCAATATGGTGCTCGAGCCGAACCATGCGCTGAATGCACCCTGGAGCGATCTGAAAGGCCACGTTGTCGGATGGGCTGTAGGCGGTCATGAAAGTCCTCACCCCTGGATCAAGAGCAACAATACCCCTTCCTTGGTTCTCGGAAGGGATCTCATCCTTCTCAACAGTGGCGTGGATGTGAAAGTGACCCAGCTTGTCCATCACGAGGCGCGCGTCAAAGGAAACTTTGCCTCGGCAGTTCAGTAAGGAGGCTTTCTTGGAGATAAGGAAAATTGCATTGGTGACGTGAGTCGGATACATCGAGAGGAAGTCAGAATGGGAATCTGCATGGATGAGCTTCTTGATGGCCGTCTTCTCCAGATATAAGCTCTGAACTTCCTTCTTTGACCGGTATCTCATCTCGAAGGCGTGAGAGCCGTTCTTGCGCTTCTTTGCGACCTCGTTCCTCAGGCCCTTCATCAAGTCAGCAATAGCCCCGTCCCGGACATGAGTCGGCGTGTCAAGGAGGAACGAATTGGCCTTCGACACGTTAGAGGCCCTGGTGAAGCGGTTCTTGAGCCAAGCCTCCGTCCGCTTGTGGGCTGTGCGCTTCTTGAGCGCTTCGAGGGCCATGTTGTATGTCTTCCTGGCACAACCGAACCAGCGCTTCAGGATCGTCCGCCCTTCCTGATTGGGATAGATCCTGATCCTTATCACTCTCTTGAGGCTTGTCTCTCTTGTACTTCCGTTTGCCGTTGACTCTGCAGCAGAAGACTTGTACGATGGCCAGGAGGTCTTGAGAGAGCTCGGCTTCGCAGCCTCCCACCTCTTCATTGAGTACCACGAGCCTGACGCCATGCTGATGAAAGATCCAGGCGACCAATTCGTAGGCAAAGCGGCACAGCCGGTCACGGTAGGCAACCACAACCTCCTCGAGGCGGCCTCTGAATGCGAGTTCCAAAATGGTCTGAAGGCCCTTCCTCTTGAAGTTGATGCCTGAGCCGATGTCTCGGATAATTGTGTGCTCTGGGTATCTGGACTGCATGTACTGGGCTTGGCGATCCAGGTCGGCCTTCTGGCCAAGGCTTGAGACCCTGCAGTAGCAGACCTTCTGCTTCTCCGTTGCGGGCCTCTGGAGCTCCTCGGCCCTTGTGTCCGCTGAGCCCCCTGAGATGACGTTGTCGATGAGATACCTGTACTTGCCCCCTGGGGTCTTGAAGGAGGTGATGAGGCCCGAGTCGGCCCATTGTCTGAGGGTGGCCCCACAGACCCCAAGCACCTGCTTGGCAGCATGGGTGCCGAGGTAGCGCTGCTCATTGGTCATGATCTGAGATACCCCAAGGGTTTTTTGACGAGATTTAAACGCACCTGCGTTCAGGTCCACGAGCCGTCTTAACAGCTGCAGCCCCTATTCAGCTGCGTCCTACCCCTGCCCTCCACATGTGCCGGGGAAGATTGCAATCAGGGTCGAGGTGCAGAACCCACGCAGTGAGAGCAACAACGCCGTCTGGTTGACCCTGGCTGAAAGAGAACGCTTCGTGTTTGAAGCTGATAGATTGGAATCCAGCGTTCAGATGTCTATTGCTGAAGTTGAGAGCAGGCTGTCTGTGGTCACGGGTTCGTGCATGGTTTGTGGTAAGCATAGCAGGCAGAGGTGTTCACAATGCAGGCAGGCAACGTATTGCTCACAGGCTTGCTTCAAGAAAGACTGGAAGCAGCACAAGGTATTGTGCGCCGGGCTGTGCTCCAAGCCCTTCTAAAGACAACAGAGCTTCCGAACAGGAGGCGCATTGCGTCTTTTGCAACAGCTGACATGGATCAATCACAGCAGATTGCCCCCATATGGCAGTTTTACTCTGTGTCATGGACAGAAAGCCCTGTCGGCTTGCCTGCCGAGCAATCTCCTCATGCAACATTCTGAGAAGCGACTCCTTGTCATTGTCAATTTCCCCGTTGGCAATTGATTCCTGTACTGTTGTGATAGTGTCCAAGAGTGCTTCATCATAAGCACGGAGGTCTGTCCGTAAGCCCTTGCTGGTATTGCACCAGTGGCACATCCAAGTAAAGTTGTCAACGTATGTGGCTAATCTCACATCTGACCGATCCAACTCTGGAAAGTTGGTGGTCCCTCCAACCAGCCTGCTCCACAGCAAGGCTTCACCGCAACTCGAACACAACTCTTTTTGGAGGTCCCACTGTCGCCTGGCATCCTCGAGCGTGATTACCTCCACAAGTCGGCCTTTGAAGCGCCCACGAATAGCTTTGTTCCTTCCCACAACGGACTCTTTTATCAACAGGTCAATATCTAGATGGAACACCCGATTGTGCATGTCCTTCACGCGTGCATGCAGCTGAGCTAAAGCCTTGCGCTCAATGACAGTCATGGATTGATAGACCAGGCACTGTCCTATGATGTCAGCTGGAAACTCAGGGCTTGCACTCAGAGCCAGTTGCCATGCATACCTTTCAAAGCCCCTAATGCCTGTCCATATGTCCTGGGAACCATCATCATCCAACGGCGTTCTTGCAGAGCTTTTCAGTACTTGCACAATGTCAATAAGAGTGCGCACTCTACCTTGCAGTTCTAAAGCCCCAAGCTCCCCCAATGTCTGATGAAGATTGTTCATCCTCGTCTCTACCTCCTGCCGGAGGGCTCTCAGTGCAGCTTTTGCTTCTATGCGCTCTCCACCTGGGACACACGAAATGCATACCCACTTCACATGTGTTTCACAGAGTATAGCACAGGCCATTCTCTCTGAAAGACCACTAGTACATTCCTGGCACGTTCCATCAAACTCTGGCATCGTGTAACGAACGGTGTCAATCCCTCTTGTCTTCAGCTGCTTCAGGCTGCTATTCCATCTATTCCGCAAAACAAGCTGTCTCTCGTCAAAGGCAGGAAGTATGGCCCGGACCTCTTGCAGCATGCTCTCAATCTCTCTGCACCGTGCTACAGTGTGGGTGACTCGCTTCAGGAAATTTGCAGCCTCCTTGGCTTCCTTCCTCTGTGTCGCAGTCATACGAGTGCCATCTTCGTTGAAACTGGCGTACTCCACACTGAAGTCATCCATGCCACTTGTGAGATATACATTCACGTGTTTCAAACGAGAATGCAATGACATTATAATAAATGACGGGCGTGCGCATATACACGGATGGAGACAAACTTTCAAGAGTATTTCAAAATCGGGATGATGTTGTTTTGATAATAGGGATGGGGGTACAAACCACCTGCGCATCTGCCCATTTGTGTCTGAACCGTACCGAAGTAATCAATAGTGCACTCCATGTTAGAAAATTATCTGCGTTTGAAGTAGGGCGGATGGACCTCCGGAACCTTCTTTCCGGCGAGAGGCGATCAGACACAACAGTGACACAATATATTACTATTCTCAAGCGCCTTCACCGCATGCTCACAGGATCAGAGAACTTTGATGATATTCACTGGCTGAGAGACTTGGACTCGGTTATGAGCTCAATCAGCCACTACAAGCCTGCGTCCAGGAAGCTTTACATCGTCCCAATCGTCGTTCTCCTGAAAGGCTGTGACGAGGGCGAACTGCACTCCAAGTACTCTGAGGAGCTCGAAAAGTGCTTAAAGGAGGTTGCAAGCAAGGACAACCTCGAGCAGACAAAGACGGAGCGCGAGTTGAAAAACTGGATCACCCTCAAAGATGTGAAGAACAAGATTGACAAGCTTCAGAGGATCATACGAAAACGAATCGTTGGAAAAAAGCTCGAAGAGATTGATCTCGAAGACCGCAGGACTATCACGCACCACCTCATACTGAACCTGTACTCAAAGATGAACCCTCTCCGCAACGATTATGCAGAGGTCAAGATCATACCCCACGGGCAAGAGCAGTCAGAGGCAGATCAAAAGCTGAACGTACTCGTAGAGGGCCCACCAGGATCCTACACGATGCTCCTGCGTCATTACAAGACCCACAAGGCGTACGGCGATAAGACAACCCCGTTCCCAAGAGCTGTCAACAAGATTGTTTCGGACAGCCTCAAACTCTTCCCGAGGAAATATCTCCTCTCGAATCTGACAAACGGGGACCAGCACATGTCTCCAGCCTACCTGAGCAAGACGTTTGGGCAGATCTTTGAGAAGGAAGGGAAACACGTAGGGTCATGGATGCTGAGAAAGATCTTCCTGAGTGAGCTGTACAAGGACGAGGTCACCTTGAAAGAGAGGCACGCAATCGCAGCAAGTATGGGCCACTCTGCCGAGATTGCAGAGCGGGTTTACAGAAGGGTCTGAAAGCAGCGTACGTGCTCTCCAGAAAATGATCAAAAGAAGCATGGATATCACCAAGCTGCTCGCAGGGGAAGGCAGAAGCACGAGCACAATCACGCAGTACTTATCGCTGCTGCAGCGGCTACATAAGCGGGTAACCGGACGCCCAAACATGGAAAACCTTGTGTGGCTCAGCGATGTTGATGCAGTATCCACAGCACTGGCAGGTTACAAGCCGGCATCTCGCAAGCTCTACCTCATACCGGTCATCCTGCTCTTGAAGAGAGGGCAACATGAGGAGCTGCTCCAGAGATATCACTCGTTGTTTGTTGAAGCTATGCATGATCTGGCTGAAGAGAGAAAATCAGAACAGGAGGTGATGAAGACATCGGTTGGAAAAGCGGAGATCGAGCGGACGAAGAAATGCCTTGCAAAGGAGGTCAAGGAGAAGCTGTATCCTAAAGGGGCCGGCAACCTCAGTGACTCAGAGAAGGGCCTTTTGTTTCAGAGCCTTATGCTGAGCCTCTACTCTGCCATTAAACCGTTACATTCCGATCTTGCTCATGTGAAGGTGGTCCGGCTTGGTGAAACACGCACAGACAGATCGGTGGACAACCTCGTTGAGACGTGCATCAACACGTTCACCTTTCACAGAGCCTGCAAGAAGCAAACGGGAGAAGAGACAAGGGTTGAGCTACCGCGCGCTCTCAACAATCAGATTGCAGAGTCCCTCCGTCTGTTCCCCCGCAAGTACGTCCTGTCCAACTCAACAGGCGACGAAGGCATGCCCTCAAAGGCTCTTAAAAGAACCTTCTCGATTATATTCTTCAAAGATGGGACAGTCCTCGACAATTCGTCCATTGTCCGCCTCTTCAACAACCTCAGCGTGGCTTAAGAAGACGCGTATGAGAGAAATGGACAATCGGTCTAACAGCCATGGAGAATGTTGCGGATGCAGGGGTGGCCATCGACTTCATCCCCCGCCGTGCGCAGTGGTCGCAGGCTGCACGAGAAGAGATTGCAAGACGGTGCAACAATGTAGGATGCCTCAAGGGCCTGGTGTATCGCTGCGGGCGATTTGACTGGAAAGACAAACGGGGGATGTTCAAGGTCGATTATCGTCCATTCCGCTCACCTTATTCCACTCAGACGTTCGACAGCCTCAGGCTGATCCCCCAGGATGTCACATGGAGGATGATTGTAGAGATGCTCAAGGTGCTGGAGTGCTGCGGCCACACTGTCCTGGCTACCAAGGGCTTCAGGGAGATTGGAGGAGACCTGACCGTCGGTCGGAAGGTCGAACTGTACGTCTTGACGTACGCACAGTCTCTCCGTATACCCACCAGAATAGAGGACGACTATGCGGACGTAGAGGATTGTTGCTGTGAAGTGATGGGTGCTGCTTAAAACTTTTTCCTGCACACACTTCATTGCGTACATGGCATTCACCGCTCTCGACGAACACAAGTTGGTTGCTGCCCTCGTTTCTCTCATGTTCCTGATGGCGGCTCGATCGTTCCCAGAGCCTGCAGGCCTGCTCCGTCAGTTTTTCGAGCAGCCGCTGTTCCGACTCATGTTCCAGTGCTTTGTTGCCTACTGGGCTGCTGGAGACGTGCAATATGCAGCAATCGCAGTTGTCCTCTTCAATGTTGCAAACAACATTCTGAGGAGTAGAGAGGAACGGAAAACAGCACCAATCTTCTGATTTCAACGGGTTGTACGTGCAACACCGCGGTGTTTTTGCCAGTAGTCTGCACCATACGGTACAATGATCTCCTGCCCGTGCCGAATGTTCTTGGTCGCCTTTATCGCGAGCCTGTGCACCCCTCCAGCATGGCTGTTGGCAAACCGTGCATTCGAATCAACGTTTCCCCGCCGGCCATTTGCAATGGTTCCGGCCCCTCGCTTGCATGCCCCGTCGACGAGTAGCCCAGCGTGGCCCCTTGCAACGTAAGGCCCCGTGTCTTGCCCATAGCGTTCATCAAACTCTGCCTGGGAGATAACGTCCCCATAGTAAGTGCAGATGGTTTCGTTTGGCACAAACACGATATTGTTCCCACCGTGCTTACTCCAAGCGAACAAGCCCTTCCCAGCACCAGGGATCGCCGATGTTTGGATCTTCAAACCGCTGTTGGCGTCTTTGATTGTCCGCAAATGCTGCCAGCATGCGGGAAGCCCTATGCACACCCTTCGCGTGCACTGACCACCATTCCGTTTATGAGCTGTGCAGCTGGCGCACTCGAGGTTGCACTGGAACCGCTCGACTCCCTCCTGGTTGAAGAATCGAAACCTCATTTACATTCTTGCAACATAATCTGATGGTCGATAGTCGTCACCACCGAGAGATGCTTCATCATCAGAGATATCAGACGACTCGTCATCAGTGTCTCTGTACTGCAGCCGCATGACGGTGTGCAGCTCTGCTTCGATGCTGCGCACCAGCTGCTCGCCAATAAGTTTCAGGCGCAACAGAGCGCCCTTCTTCAAGGCCTTGGGCTCTGTATCCCGCAGGGTCTTCTTAAAGTCTGCCACGATTGCTTGCAGCCTGCACTCGAGCGCTTCCATTAGTGCTTGAGTGGAGAGCCACAAAAAACGGCACGCAGGACAACGCGTGTTGCTTCCAGTAGCCAAAGGATTGTTCATTATTATGGATGACTTGGTCGCCTGCTGTGCCGGGGAGTCTCAGCAACCTCACCGGCTTGAAAGGGCCCGCATCACGGTCGCAGCAACTTCGGTCTTTCTTCTGGCCGTCATTCTCGGCTGCGCTTACCGATAC